CAGAAGAAACACACTATATACCTGAGACAAGTGAAGGGGAAAGAATTCTGGGAGCACCTCAGAAGCACAAAATAATGGCTCTCTTCAAGCCCCACCACTCTGCTGTAAAAAAAGAGCTGAACCATTGCCCAGGTCCCAGGGACAACCAGGTTGTACCACTCAACCTCAAACGCCAGAAATGAGGATCACCTAGCATAATGGCATAGCACTACTGCTTGTCACATGACAGTCGCAACAGAGGACCTTCACCTGAACCACTCAGAAGCTGAAGAATGTTAAGAACAATGAACTGGCCACGCTTCTGTATTTCATATCTGGCCTTACTCCATATCTATTTCTGAGATCTTTTCTCCAGCTCTTACCTGTTACACTACATTTCATTCCAGGCTGATTGTTTCTTTTCTATTTCCTTTCAATCATCAGCTTTGTATCTTCATTTAGTGCTATTTTCCTAAGTATATGAAAAACGTCTCCTTCAAAGCATTTTTAGTTGCCTTTCAACACCAATCACAAGGCAGATGCCAACAGAATTTCCATCAATTTATATTTTAAATGTTCTGCTATGTTCTGCAGGACAGCTCCTTGGGAGAGCTGCCGAGTGGGCTTGACATGCAAGGTACACTAATGTATTACACAAATTCAGGGAAGAAGCCATGCAGCATACTGCTTTATGTGCATGCTCTAATATGAAACATTTTTCCAATTCAACATTCTTTCCTAGAACTAGATCTATCAGTAGGTGAGTATCAGCTGTCTTCAATTATTACTTACTCAGATAACAAATTTTGATTATACAATTTTTCTGCTTAAAATTTTTTATCACTGCAAAGACCTGAATTAAAAAAATCAGTATCGCTGATGTTAATTCAACCAGTGAACATACTAATATTTTATTTAGAACATCTTGAGCTTCCTATCTTCTTAATGAATTAATTAAATATAAAACAATTTTTTAAAGTCTTATAATCGCAACATAAAGGAATGGGTTAACACAAAGAATTCACTGATGACTTGCTAGCCAGTTTGAGAGGTATTTCTGAAGCAGATCAAAAATGCTCAGTTATGAAGGGTGGCAGATGTACACGGATAAACCTGCCAGAATTTCTTGATAGTGCTGACAAACAGAAGTTACTGTGTCAACATATTGCCCAATATCTGAAGGGAAAGGACTGGGGGGAGGAGGGGAAGGAGAGATTTAAAAAGAAGGAGAAAAAAAAAAAAAGGCAGCCAGAAGCCAGGCAGCACTAATGCCTGATATGAATTTGAATTTCATTTTTATCAATGTAACTAAACAATTGCCTCTTGATAGTAGAGTTTCAAGACTTCTTTGGCAATTTGTTAAGTATACAAGCAATCAACATCACCATATTATAACCCTGTGTGCAAAATTCAGCAGCTTACATTAAAAACAGCCTAATAGGAAAAAAATCACAAATTTTCAGAGTGGCTGAAAGCAGACTCTTATTCCAGCTGGTGCTGAGAGTAGTCTAAGTATTTGATTTCAGTTGAACAGGGAAATACCTGGTTAAATTCACAGAGAAGAAAACAAGTTTCTGGATGTACATGTTGGCTAATACCTTAGCTTTTCAAAACCTTAGTTTTAAACTCAAAAGAACTTTAAAAACATTTATCTATTATTTTTTCCCTAGTGATAAGTATCCACTAGTTGAATTTGCGACAATTTAGTCACAATAATAAAGTTGTGTATTCCTTAAAGATGCACCTCACCAAGCAAACCACAGAAGTAAGTCCATTTACTGTTGTTTTCCCTACTAATTCAATTCTATCAGAATTTGTAATGTCTTACATGTAGACAATTTAAATAAAAGAATAATTGTAAACTGAAACACATTTCCAACTCCTAAAAAATGACTGGGAGCTATATTAATTAGCTTTTGTGTTGCTATGCAGCATAGCAGCTTTACCAGGCATACTGTGTCTAAAGTATAATCTTTCTCCAGACTCCAGTGCTTCAGAGACATTGACCAGCAGTTCACCAGAAGCCACTCCGCCTTCATTTAAGGTAGCCAATAAAAAATCAGCAACTCTCCCTTTAACCAGAATGAAGCAGCAAAATGAAATTTCAAGGCTGACTATAAGGTGCCCTCTTTGAATGGGACTGGAAAGTGCACAGGAATGCATATATTTTATTTCAACAATCTCATAAAGTGAGGTGGGGGTGGTGTTTGATTTTTATTTTCTTTGCTTCTAATACTGTCAACCTAGATGCTGTTCTTAGCATATTGATAAGTTGAAAATGTTTGAGTTAATACTTTGTTGAGAAAGTGGTTACCTAAAGAGAAAGCATACAGAAATGATTTCACTACATTTCAAAACAGAAAATTTTGACCTGAGACTAAAAATACTAATCTAGAAGAAATTCGATATTCCCTTCACCTTGTATAGGTAGAACTGCAAGTGCATGCTCTGCTTATTTCAACTTAAAATGGATTTCACTCCATGACAGGTTTCATTCTGCATTAAAATTGCAAATCTTCTATGTGGCCCAGTTTCAGCTGCAATTGATCTGCTTTGTCGTCATAGATAAAAACAGCGAAGGACACTGCAGCTTTAAATATTTCAGAGCTATGTAGCTAGTAAATAGACTCCATTGCAATATGGCTCTGAAGGTCGTGTCCTATTGTCTCTTTTCTGTGCAAATATTTTGAACAGCATAAAATGCTTTATTTTATACAATACCTCCCTGCTGTTTCTAAATCATGTCAATTGTATTAGGCATTTCCTCACTGGAAAGGACAGATACGCCACTCTTTCCATACACACCCACGCTCCTTCTAGATGTATTCAAAACCTCCACTGTGAATATAACAGCAGAGTGTACATATCAGACATATACAGCTTTTCATATGTATACCTTATCCTACCAGACTCCCCATTAAATCCCACCACAACATAAGGACAACTAGTTTTTTCAATGGTGGTAAAATAATTAACTGGATTTCAGGTAAAGAAGCATCTTTAGTGAAAAATAACAGGTCTGTTAGAAAACCAAAGCTAGCAATTTTAGTATCTCCTGTTTCTCACCTATGGGAGAATATGAAAAAAAGAAAAAAAAAGGCACATAGCACCAAGAGAATGTAGTCTGCCAAACGCGGTTTTCACAAAGGAAGGCTACTACCAAACAAAAAGACACCCAAAAAAAACAAAAGCCCTGTCATATTTAAGTTACAAGAAAAACAAGACTAAACCTTAAGCCAGCATTTGGAATCTTTGTGCATCCACTCCCTAGGATCAAACCCACTTCCTTCATATAAGGTTATTATCTGATGCAAATATGAGTTATGGAGATGCCTCTCAGAACATGAAATACACCCCTGTAAAAAATACAACTTTGCGATAGCTGTCGCCATTGTAGAAGGTGCATGTGGTCATTTACCTGAAAGGGCAACAGATTGTTGCCATTGTCCGTCCTGAACGCGTTGTCTTCCATCCAGGATTTGGGGGTTAAGGGTGCAGCCCGTGGGAACTTCGGAGGGGCAATGACATTGCTGGAGAATGGTTTTTTAAGGGGTGAAATGGGATTGAGGGGAGAGGGTACACCGACCCCCACTCCCACGCCAACCCCCACTCCAACTGCCCTTCGAGGGTCCCTACCAGCCTGCAGCCCACCCCAAGGATTGGAAGGTGTACTCCAAGCCGCATTTTGATGGTTATTCCAGCTGGAGGAAGAAGAAGAGGAGACAGAGGAGGAAGACGGTTTGCTGGTCATGATGGGCTGATGGCTGTAAGCAGCATTTCTCTGGGCGAAAGGTGCCTGATTAGGGCTTACAGGTGACCTCCGCTGCTGCTGCTGCTGAGCTTGCTGCTGCTGCTGCTGATGTTGGTGGTGTTGAGTCTGAGCTAGGCCAATTTGAGGTGAGAAAGTGCCACCGAATACAGGGTTGACATGGTGTGGAAAATTCTGGAAAAGCATTGTCCCATTGACTGGAGTAATCCCTTGGAAAAAGCTATCATCCACCGTGTTTGTGGTCCCTGTAGACCAGGTGCTGCCGAAGGAGGGAGACAAGGAGGTGCCGGCTGCAGGTTCTTGTTGAGGCTGGTGAAAGCTTAAGCCAGGCAAAATGGGAGACTCCATCTGCATCTTCTCCTTGCTATTTTGTGAAGGAGCTGATGTGCCGATACTAGTCACTGAACTGCTGTCTTCTGGTTTCGGCGTCTCCGACGAGATGGGTGTAGAGGGGGCTTCTGCTGAGTTTGGATCTTGCTGCTGCTGCTGCCGCTGCTGCTGCTGGGGCTGGGCTTTGCTTTTGTCCATCAGTAAATCATCCTGCATGGTTTGCGCAGCTGAAACAGTAGGGGAAAAAACCACAAAGACAGATTATTAACGTTGTCATTCATACCACAAACCAGGCTGTCTTAATCATTTGCCAGCCAAAAATCTCGTCCTATTGCTAGCGCTATGCTACGGCAAATTACAAGGCAAACCCGTAATCTTCCCCCTCCCCCAATTAGGAATATGTAACCTTTGATGGTGCTAGATTGCCTTTAAAATATTTTTTAAGATGCTTCACCCTTTTTGATGCCTTGTTTCCCTTCAGTCTAAATGAGATGTGCTTATAGGGCAGAGATATACAGCAATTTCGCCACGTCTCTTTTCTCTTACACCGGAACTCAGAGCTCTCACCCTGCAATGAGAAACTGATTCTGGTTCCTGTTTTTCCAAGCACCCTCCTCCTCCTCCACCTCCTCCCCCTGGTTATTTGCATACGTCAATAAATACTGCTGCGTCCTTCAGCAAGGTTAAAAAGACACCAGTCTTCAGTCTTCTCCACCCCCTTTTCTATTAAGGGACCTTTAAAGGAGCCGGGTACCGATTTTCCCTAATTAACAAACAAGCTTTCAGTTACTGAAATTTATCAGAGAGAAAGCACACACGAAATCTCGCACTGATGCTGGAGCGGTTCTGAGCTGCACAATCGTTTTCCGGCCTATTTCTGCCGCACAGCTCGCTGCCTGCTTTAGGGCATGAGAAGCGATCACAACGGCGGGGAGGAGGTTGGGGGTGGGGGGAGAGACTCTTCATGTACAAAGCCACCGACGGGTGTTACATTTGCTTTCAGCGACCTTACGATCTTCCCATATAAAACATCAAAGCACTCCTTTGCTTAAAGGTATTTCTACTCGCTGTACTTCTACATATATTAAATTATTAGTGATTCGTTCATTGGAAAAAAAGAAAAGGTCCAAATGCACAGATATTGGAGGTATTATCATACTATCCTGTTTCTGATGCTTTCACAATGAAAAATAAAAATGGGGCAAATTGAAATACTTAAAATACAGACATGCCACATTTTAAAAGCCATCTTTATATGCACAAGACAAACACTAGTGATGCAAATTATTTGCTAAATCAATACATAAGTTTAAACTCTAAAAAAAATAAATGCATGTAGAATGGTTGAGTTGTATCTGCTAGAACAGGGGCTTCGTATGAAATAGAACATCATATTTGATTTTTGAAACACAGTGATACTAATGCATGCGTAGACAGCAGTGAACAATTGTATAAACTAGAATGGGAACCTCCACATTTTGAAAACTTTTAGTCAATTGAAGAGATCATTTTCAATCTCATAAGTATTCTAAATGAGACCAAAATTACTTCAATTAACTATGTCAAAAATAGTAATTGCTGCATACCTAATTGCATTTGAGTTAATCATATGACATGTACATTCCTAAGATTGCCTTATTTTAGGGTTGTTGTTTTACAAAGTAAAGCTAAATCAATTAACTGTTTAATAAAGGTGGCAAAGACTGAAATCATCAACCCTCTCCCTTCTCACATCAACAGTTTTCAGATGGTTCATGTGTACCTTTAACATTTTATTTTTTTTTCTTTTAAATCTCCTGAGCCCTATACACACTTTCTAGTTAAAATGAGTGTCAGGACAGGTTTCTGCTATTAATTAAGTTACTGCTCACTTTCCTTCTTATTTACCTGTTCAATATGTAAACTGAACAGCAAGGGATCATGAACAGACTACACAGTGAGACAACATGAAGGCAAGTTCCTATGCAGAATGGAGCAAACTATTGCATCTGTAACAAGAAGCTCTGCTGGTGCTGGGGGTGCAGAAAACCTTGCAAGGCAGTTTAAAGCAGTACTGCAGTAAGCCATAATATACCAAGCTCTGTGTAACTTTCCGTTAGCTTCATTTCTATCAAAATCACTATTACTCTTAAGGTTACATAAAATTACTGATGATTCCACATATGAGAGAGAGAAAAAGATTATATGTATCTGTTCCCTGGTTCTGAGCTATCAGTATAAAAATATATTTAGCAAGAAAAGCATAGCAGCTGGAATGAAAAAATCTGTTGTCAATAAAGTATATTTAAATCAGTTAGTCACCAGGTTATCTATAGTGGCTAGCACAGCACTAGTTTCAAACATGTACCTTGCCTTAACTAGCTGGTTCTGAACTTTATCCTAAGGATTGTAACCCACATTATTTTCATATTACCTCTTAAAGGTAAAAATCACTGCACAACTCAACCCTCTTGTCAAGGTCAAGACCTACCTTTAATGAATGAAGCCAGTCTGAATGGAAAAACACTGGATAATAAATGACTTTGAAAGACAGGCCAGCCAATGTCTAATGTTGGACTAACGCAGTACCTCCTGATTATTTGCTGGTGTAAGTATTTGTACAAATTTAAAACCCAGTACAGGAAATCCCTATCCCCATAACAATAGCAGCTCCGTTTGCATGCAGTAACCCATGCAGTCAACACAAAAATTTGTAAGGAATGTTTACCTTTGGATTTTCTGTACTTAAAGATCAACAAAATGACAGTATATTTATTTTCTTCTTTCAGGTTTGGTATATGACAAATAGTCGACCACACTGGCAAGAGCACTTTGACAACTGGAAGCTTTCAGCGCATGCTCTCCCAAGGAATCCTGGGGGTTGAAGTCTTAGCTATAGATGGCATTTCACTGCTGCCTATCCTGAAAGGAAGAGGGCTCTAAGGGGAAAAAAGTACGCAAACACTCTCTCTTTCCATGGAAAATTGCTGCAGTCTGAATCACCAGCTCCAAGAAAATAAATATCTGTCAGATTGAGCTGAACCCAAGCAACTAAATAAGAGCTTTTAACAGTTTAATTTATTAACCCTGATCAAATAGCTACCTATTTGGAAGAGCAATAGCTACACAAGAAATAGTAGTAGTATTTCCAAACTTCCAGTATAAGAAGTTAATTATAACCTCATACCAGAGATTGCATCATGTTGCTTAGCTGAAGAAAATATTAAACAATAACCTGCCGTAATACAATTCCTAACAATATTCTGAAACTCAAACATTAATAGGTAGAGCATGAAAATTTAAACCAAATCAAAATCAGCACACAGCCAAAATGTTGTATTATTTGAATAATTTCCAATTTCCAAATTACCACTTTTTCATTACTGAGTTACTGTTACCACACTGAAAACTCTACCAAAAAAAAAAAAAGTGGAAAAAAAAAAGGAAGGTGCAAATTTTACTATTTAACATTCCATCTGCTCTGTCCACTGTTCCACATTTCACCTACCTCCCCTCCAGTACCCACATATGTCCAACCTCCACATCAATACACAGCATGACAGGCATTCCTCTCGTATTAATATTTTGATGATTAATATAGGTCAGGTAAAGTTTTCAGAATTCCATTTACTGGCATTTGTGTTCTGTCTTGTACTGTTGCATGAATTATTTTGGATATTTATTATGGATAATTATTCATAATACTAATATGCAGGAGTAAATACTAATGCTTGTATAGAAATTATATAGTTGAAATCAGAAGTGTGAAAATATCAATATTTAATAAAAGTGCAAGCTGATTGTTTAAATGATGAAATACACTTAGCTTTATCGGTGAAAAGACATGACTAAAGCTAACAAAGGTACATTAGGGCAGTTGAAAATGGGCTGTTAAACACTTACACTTTACTTTCTAGCTTCTGTTTATGTTGGACTGTTATGGTCTACCTGCCCTAAGTCAATGCTGTAATTAAGCGTTTCTCAACACTTGCTCTAACCTGTTTGTGCTACTCTGAATCATTATGAGAAGGAAAACTGCTTTATTACAGCAGTTGAAAAAACCTCATTTGTTGAAATATCCCAGCTATCACAGAAGTAGCTCTAGGCATTCCATACCCCCCCTTTACATTCCTATTTACTTCTGGGTTATTGCTTTTCAGATGATTTGAAGATTCATGTGGAAGGGACCACACCCTTACTGTCAGTTTTCCCCAGGAGACAGCTTCACTTTATAGATCAATGGGTAAAATAAGGAAAGTACTTCTTACGATATTGACAAATGGAGCAGCGCTCCATAAGCGAAGAATATCAGAACATAAATACAGGTTTTGATCAATTGGCCACTAGAAGAAACTGTTTTTTGTTTCTACCAGGCAATTCTTTCATAACTGGAAGTTAAAAAATAGTAACAACAGCTGTATCAGAACACAGGAGCTTAATTCTATCTGCTATCTGCGTTACTTGACCTGGGCCAGTTCCAAAGAAACAACTGTAAAAAAGGCCCAAGTAAGCCTAGCTAACTCAGTTAACATTGCATTGAGTGTGTTTTTATTTTATCAAATTCATTATTAAGTAATTTAAGCCCACTCTAACAGACCATGATGGTGTTCTTGCCAGAAATTAATATTCCAACTAGCTTGAAGATTAAAATTAAGTATTATGTTACTGAAAAAAAAGAGTTTTATTGTAGAAACATTTTCCTCAGTTTAGACTTGTTTCATTTTAGTTTAATTGAGGGCTCCTTTTTTTTTTTTAAGGTGGAATCAGCTAGATAAAAAATGCCTAACCAATCTTGTAATTTAATTTTACACATTACTATCATAGCAGTTAAAAATGCAGTTTTGCCAAAATAGAATATCCATATTGCCAGGGTACTTAGCTTTATTGAAAACAGTGAATAATTCTTGTCAACTTCTTTCTTAAGTTTAAATCTCTATAAATTTGTTAGGAAATGATTTAGTATTTTCAATGTTGATATTTTGACATAAATCTGATAGCCAAATTTAGGACTCAATCTTAAACCTTAAATAGCTGATACTGGTTTTGGTGATTTTCATTAAGATCTATACTTGCCTCCAGACATGCAGTTTTATTCAATCCAAAATGTCTGCCACCTCCAGTTAGCATCAGTGAAGCTGAGCCTTGTCAAATCTCAATTAATAGCAACCCTTTTACCTCACTTTGCATTGGAAAAAGGGAGCATTCCCAGGAGAGTTCACTCCGGGCTCAAATGCAGCTACCATCAGGTGAAGGTAAGAGAGGACAGAGTAAGACAGTGCAATTAACATCATGGATACGGAAGGAACAAAGAAGGATCTATTAAGGGATGATATGGGAAACAATAGTTTTTTAAAAATGAAAAAACTGCCAGAAGCAACATGAAATTTATAGTGGAAATTGCCAATGCAAAAAAAGGAAGCATAAAGAACAGAAAGTGGAAAGAAAAAGAAAACACAAAGGGGATGAGGGAGAGTGAACTGAAGGAGGTGATTATTAGGGAGAATAAACCAGGTATTTGAATAAAGCAGCTGCATATCTGGTCTTGTTAAGGGGAAGAGATGAGGATGGAATGACAACTCATGCTCCGTCAGGGAATAAGGATTTTTTTTCCTTAGATTTAGAAATGGTTATATATGTATTTTAGGACTTTGATTCTGAGAAGAGCAAACAAATGGAGGACATACACACCAAGCTGTCCAACAGGCACAAATCAGTTTGTAGATTTCAGGATCTTTAAGCTTTTTATGGAATGATAAGAGGTTTGCCATTACAGGGTCACAGAATTACAGAATCTGTGGGTTGGAAGGGACTGTTAGAGGTCGTCTAAGTCCAAGCCCACTGCAATAAGCAGGGATATCTTCAACTAGATCGGGTTGCTCAGAACCCTGTCCACCCTGACCGTTAATATTTTCAGGGATGGCGCACCTACCACCTCTCTGGGCAACCTGTTCCAGGTTTTCATCACCCCCACAGTAAAAAATGTCTTCCTTATCCAGTTTAAATCCACCTTCTATTTGTTTAAAACCATTACCCCTTCTCATGTCACATAAACCTAAGGATAAAACCAGATTCCCTATTTCCATTTGTAACATTTTAGAACAAATATATAAAACCTAAGCATTTGGCCAGTCTAGCTGATCAGTGCTCTGGCCAATAGACAATGCACTTATTCCAGACCAAGATTAGGAGCCAGAAACTCTGGTATATAATATTGCTCTTACATTTTGCAAACAGCTGTAATTGGGACAGTGTGTATTAGGCTGTCTTCCAGGAAATCATGACCACATGGTTTACTCAAGCCACTGTACATCCAAGACTTCTTAGCAGTACAAGCAAAACTGAATTTTACAGTCCTAAGAATAAGAACTTAATAAGTTTTCTGGGACAGGATGTCAGCATGACACCTTCTTCCTACTTGCTTCTATACATACTTCTTGTATGGAGCATTTACATCACTGTAATTACTTTAGCATTCCTATTTATGATATTTGTAGCAACTAGAAAATAAAATAACACCCTCCCTACTCCATAGGTATAATATAGCCATTAAGACCAAGTCCTGATACTCACACACATTTTTACAATACATTTCTCTCAGTAAAGACTCTGAAAACCAGACTGATTTTTGCCTAAGGCAGCACAGCCAAAGAATCCAGTATATTCATTAAAGTCTCCTTTCTATTCTACCTGATCTCTATAGTCATGTATATCCACCATGCAAATACTACTTGTCCTAAGCAAGAACAGATGTAGGTTGATGCAGTTGCACAGTTGTGGGGTTGGCCCTGTAAATTACTACCTTGTACAGTAACTACAGCACAACAAAGTTGCAATTTACACGAGGTATCCAGGACTAGTCACATGCAACAAAAATTATTACAAGAACTATTAAAAAATACTTTTATGTATATCACATGAAAAGGAAAATTCAAAGTTGACCTTCATTAATCAGCCTTCCCAAGAATCTGGAATGTCACAAATACCTTTGAAAAGTAAGGTATCAGCCTTTGCTAGGGGAACGTGACATTATACAGAACCTTTACATGCAAGCATACACTCAGACTGAAAAGTAAGAGCAGGAGACAGACACCCAGAATGGAAATAAACAGAAAGGCAACTTCTCTCCAGGTCCTATCCACCTCTTCTATAAAGAATTTTCAGCTTCTAAATTTCCAAGACTCATGGACTGATGGGATGTTCTAACTTCAGAACGTACAGTAAATTTTAAAAGCACTTCAAAAGGATTTTTTTTCCATTAGGAAGCACGCCTACAAACCAAAGTGAGAGCAGCGTCATTACCACCAGCCGTCCCACGCCTCACCCCACTTGCGTACAGAAGCTAGTAGCCACCAGGCCTCCACCGAGCACGACGGGCCACTTACAAGGGCGCCGGGTGCTTGTGCCTGTCATTACCAGCAAGCCCACAAAACCGGATTAATTTCCCTGCCGAAGTGCCAGCCCCCGCCTCTCTCGGCAGCCAACTAGGGCAGGCACCTGGCAGAGTCACCTCTTCCCCCGGGCCTCTCCGCCCCAAGGACAGGTCCCGGGAGGCCGGCCGGCCAAGCAGGGGGCTGGAGCTGCCTGGCACCTGCTCGGGAGGCGAAGGAATGGCGAGGGTGCTGCTCCTGCCCCGTAAGCGTCCCCCGACGGCACAGAGGAGGCGGCGGCCCGGCCTTTCTCCACTTCCCTCCTCCCATGAGGCGGGACCCGTGCTGCGCCTCTCGCCTCACCCGCCGCCGAGGGCAACGGTCGCTGCGCGAGAAGGGCGATGGCCGCTCCCACTGCTCCGTCCCTTCAGGCCCCCAGAAGGGCCGGGGCGGCGGCGAGCACTGTGTGTTCGGGAGTGGCAGCCACCACAAGCGGGAGCGGGGCCAGGTGCTGACCTTCCACCGCGTACCCCCGCTACCCTGCCCCGTTCCCTACCTGCCCGC